TTTGATAGATTATACCAAGCTGAGATTAACTATCAAACCATTACCCTCAATGCCATGTGAGTTCAGTGTCATAATTCAATGTATTGATATAGCATTACGTCCTTGTCAAGAAACATAAAACACGTTCAACCACCCCTCAAACTGTCTCAATGTGATCGCATAAACAAATTCCTATTCCAAATCGGCCAAAGATGACAAAACTATCAAATTTGCATCACCCAAGAAGGAAACCCACAGCAGAATCACAAACCACTTTGTCCGACAACCCCACTAGTTTATGACCTTGTATCGTAGAGACTTGTCACATAATCATCAATAAAACACGCTTCGGCCGATTTCAATTTGTTTGACGTTGAACATTAAATTGCATCAAACCTCTCCGGCCTATGACTTAATAGTTAGGTGACCGCCGGCTATGATTTAATCGTGAGGAGTATTATGCTATAACGACAGAATACAGGTAGGCCAATGGACGGCATCGTAATTGAAGTTGTTACGGGACTGGAAGTGCGGGAGCCACTTTATTACACTGGACCTGTTGGGAGTTGTAAAATGACAACGTACAATGTGGTTTGTCATGTACTCGATCAGACATCCCACTGAGCACTGGCTTAAAATCCACATGAGGTGTTTGTTAAAGCTAATTCTGTTACAAATTTAATGGTCTTGCATGTCTAACCCACAAATGGTTATAAAATATTTATTTGTCAAATGGACCTATAGCATAGATAAAGATGTTGAAGTGTAGTTTTAGTGATTTCACAATATCGGAAAGGTTAAAAGTAAGAATAGAATAAAATGGATTTAAACATATTTAATTTCTTTTTTAAATATTTATAATATCTATTACCAAATTTGTAATCCTTCTACCAAATGAACTTTAACTACAAGTCATAACTATTTTATCAAGAGATGTCCTGTCCTGTAGAAATGTAGTAAAATACCTAAAATATTTGAATTGCAGTATTACCAACCCAAAATATACATGAATCATCTTTTCTCTACTGAAATATTTATGCTGAGAAATAAAGTAGGAATCATCTACATGACAACTGAACCATTTATTCTCAACTTTATAGCATTGCAACATATTGTATCTCCATAAAATGGTTCTGCGTATAATATTTCCATTTTCTGCTTTTAGTACCTGTCAAATTCTGTTAGTAAGAAGGAGGCTGAAACCGATATTCCAAAACTCATTAATATTGTCTTATATCAACATGATGGAGATGTCTTACATGCTAAATTTTGTCATTTTATAACCATGCAGTTAAATATAATCTGGTGGATGTTCTTTTTCTTTCAAATTATGTTTTCAAACCCAAGACATTCAAAAGCAGTAAGCTATGAAGTGAAAGGAACCACTGATTTCAGTTTGTTTTAATCATAGTTTGTTCCACACATTTCAACTAAAATATACACCAAGTGACCATTATATCCATCAGTTATAAATGTAGTTTAATGTAGTCCACAAACTTTAAAATAAGACTAAGCTTTGAAAAATATTCTTTAATTTCACAATTTCCCACATTTGTTGCTCTATTACATGTTGTCCATGTCAATAGATAAGGTTTTAAAATGGTTACACTGTATTGCTTCCACGTAACAAGGAAAATAATATTAATTATTCAGAGCACATTTAATGCACTTTCACAGCTAATTTAAACCTCAAAATTACAGTACGACCAGAATTAACAGCCCAAATGTGTATTGGGTAAAGGGCAAACCTATTCCGTGTATGCTGGTAATGTGAAATATGTTTTTGTTAATCCACACACCTTGCAAAGCTTATGATCAAATTACCAATTAGATAATAAATGCAGTGTGCCATAACATGGCTGTACCATGTAGACCTCTAACTCTAATCTCAGCTTCCTGCACGAAACATTGTAGTGTCATGTTGCACACGAAGGATGGGGGTTTAGAATGTAAGCTAATGGCTTCCAGTTGAAAGATCACGTATGATTTTTACACAAAACACGGAGGAAGGAAAACAGGGAAAGTAGAGGAGGGAAAAACATTGACACGAGCAGGGATGAAAGTAAGATGAGAGAGGTGAAGTGGAGACAGGGAAGAGGAGATAAAAGGAAAAGGGAAAAGAAGAAAAGTGAAGAAATATAAGGGATGAACGAAGAGGATTGATGGAGTAACGAGAAGAGATGAAAACCAGTAAAAAGCCATGGAGATATAATAATTTAAACATGAAGGGGCCTAATAGAGGATGTGACAGGCATGGAGAAAGATACAAGTCCCTTGGCAATATTTGTTAATTTAAATAATAATTTCTAGGTGGTATGAATATATCTAGTGACCGGTGACCAATGTCACTTGTAGCTAGTGACTGGTGACCAGTGTTGCCTATATCTTATGACTGGTGACCAATGTCACTTGTAGCCAGTGACTGGTGACCAGTGTTGCCTATATCTTATGACTGGTGACCAATGTCACTTGTAGCCAGTGACTGGTGACAAATGTTACCTATATCTTATGACTGGTGACCAATGTCACTTGTAGCCAGTGACTGGTGACCAGTGTTGCCTATATCTTATGACTGGTGACCAATGTCACTTGTAGCCAGTGACTGGTGACCATTGTTGCCTATATCTTATGCCTTATGACTTATGACTGGTGTTACCTGTTTCTAGTGCCTGGTGACCAGTGTTGCCTATATCTTATGACTTATGACTGGTGTCACCTGTTTCTAGTAACTGGTAAGCAGTGTTGCCTGTCCTCTGGGAATAATTACTCATTCAAATTAGACTTTCAAGGTGGTATAAAGATTAAGAACAAGTTGTCCATATGAAAGACTTTACATACACTGTCCACTTCTTTAGACTTGCATATTATAAGAATAGAATTTCTATACATCCATTAACTTACCATTCAGACCAGCCATGGAGAAAAGATAGCATTGAGAAGCCAGGAATGTATTACACCACAGTTAGTGAATATATCCTTGGGATTATCATTTTGTGTTTCCTGCTTTGTGACATTGCTTGGAACAGGGTCTGTGTTGTATCATGTCAGCTTGTATGAGAATCATGCTCAAAGTGATGACAGTTGATGAGGTGGGTTAAATGTAGGAGCATATTAAAGTGAGTGAGTGAGTTTAGTTTTATGCCACATTCAGCAATATTCCAGCTATATGGAATATACACAATTGGGATACGATGACATGTTCAACCAAGTTCGCGAGCCTGACCACCTGATCCCATTAGTCGCCTCTTACCACAAACATGGGTTACTGAAGACCAATTCTAACCCAGATCTTCACGGGCATGGAGCATATTAGGTGACAAACCTAGGTGTATATTCTGGGCAGATCTTGGAAACAGATTCTGTCATGGCTAAGGGAGGTAACTCTTCACACCAATATTGACCAGAGAGACAGATTTAACAAGATCTAACGTGCATGGGAACTAATAGAAACTGGGAGAAAGTGACAGTTGAGTTGACAAAATGAAAAAATATACACAAGAACAAGGATGGACAGATGAGCAACCAGCAGAAAAGACAGAAAAGACAAGCTGGAATTAAGTGGTGGAATTAAGAAAATGAAAAAGCAACTTGTAAAAACAGAACATGGATGTACAGATGTGGAAACCCGGCAGTAGGGAGAAGGAAGGAGGTGAGCCTTAGGGAACAACTGAAGAACATCTTTGATGTTCTGTATACAGATGTAGAAGTTATCCCTGACAATAGTATGTGCCGCCATTATTATTGTACCACTTAAAATGTTCTTAAGGCGTAGGTACTCCTTCACTTTGTGTGTGATCATAGTGATGAACATATCTCATTGTCTCTCTGAAATGAGGATATGGACAAGTGGGAAGAAGAACATGAATGAATTGTGTTTTCAACCTCTTTGAAGGTTGAAGAAATATAAAACATCAACATCCCAGAATAACCACTCTCGATTATCCCGTGAAACAAGGTGGCACGGGAAAGACATATCAGTAAATAGAAAGACAAAAGAAGGAAGGAAAAAAGAACAATTGTAGAGAGGACAGCGCTGGAAAATAAAAAGAGAATTAATAAAGAAGCTGGCACCAAGAGTGTTGCATGTGATCGAGCAACACTTAAATGGGGCATCACTTTCAGTTTTCCTTTCTCAATTAAAAGATGTAGCCGAAAAGTCTATACTGAAGCAATGTCACAATTGTAGAAGAGGATGAGAATGGATGAAGGGCACACTGATGCCTATATCATGTTTTTAGACTTCAGATCAATGGATGTCTTATCAGCCATCTGTTGCTTGAATCATATTGCTATAAATGGAACATTACTCTATCATCACAACATTCTATATTGTAACTATTCATAAAAATAGAAAGAAATGAGCATGCCAACAGCAAACCGCAATACACATTTTGTTTCAGTCATCAGGATAAGGGGGTGGCCTAGTGGTTAAAGTGTTCGCTCGTCATGCCGAAGCCTGTGTGAAGCCTATTTCTAGTGTCCCCCGCTGTGATATTGTTGGAATATTGCTAAAAGCACCATAAAACCATACTCACTCACTCACTCACTCACTCACTGGATCTGGCACTGTTTAAGTACATGTATAGTGGCCTAATTCTGGTTAAAAGTGTTATTTGTCATCATTTGTCTGCCACGAAAAATTGACTTCATAAATGGGATAACCGATCAATCCTTCGCATATAAAACAAGTTATTTTTCTTCAACCCCAATTTCATAATTACAGAATCATAAGTAGAAATCAATGCCTAATTCAATTTTTATTGATTTCGTTACACATGCACATAACAACACAAATTAATTTCAGTGAGGGTAAAATCTGATATTACATACAGAGGGACCTAAATCAAACATATTCAATATTAATTCAATATTGGCTACACTAACCACAAATTACGACTGATTCCTTGGAGGTGGTCTGAGTACTTCTAAAGTTATCAAAGGGTGACTACTTTTGCCATACCGTGTATCGATTCAGTAAGGAAATTTGATCTAAGGGTGTATTTTGTGTATTCATGTGTAACAGAAGTCTAAGGCCTGAGACGAATAAGAGTCCAGAAAAGACATAATACCATATTAGTCACAGAGTTGCTATGGCAATGTGACCTGTTTTGAGAGCACCAACAGTGTCGGAAAATGGTTAAGTTTGAGTGTTAATTTTCTTGTGACAGGCATGAGAATATGAATATCCTCTGGCTTTATATATTTAATTTACTTTTTCTGCACTGCGATTACTGGGGTTTAAAGAATATTACGTGTGTAAAAATGTCAGTGCTGAGTGTTACTTACCATCTTTTTATAGAAACGTATGAATTATTCTTATATATGCATAGAAACTGCCATTCAGGAACCCATTCAGACACACCTTTTGTTGGTTCATGGCATCAAGATGAAATATCTCTCAAACCACTGTCTGAACAACCATCAGGAAAGTTCATATGGCTCATTTGTCAATCAGTGCTAAGCTCAACTACATTTATAAAACTTGCAGAAGTATGAACAAACTTAAAAACTCAATTTCATTTAAGTTTTTATAATTTTGAGTTTGCTTAATGACCCTGTTTTGAGATTTTAGTTGAAGTTGAAGTTGATTCCTTGTTTAAGTCATGTGTTTAGTCATTTAGTTTTTTACATATTGGAAAAGAATTTTTGATCTTTTAAAGTTTTAAACAGCAAAAGTCAGAGAATGAGGTTCATGCTGGATGTAGCATGTGTGGTCAGGAGTTTTGAGCAGCATTAGTAGACTATAGCAATAACATGGAGAGTTCAGAACTAGTATTGCTGTTAGGAGCTTTGTATACTCTATTTGCCATTTGAGATGAAAACATTAATATGTAATGGTGGTTTTATGACAATAGTCCATTCTGAATCTCATGAGCTTTGGTCAAAATGATTGACCAAAATGGATCTGTATGTATGTAATTCAAATAACAGCGTATCGCCTATGATACTTGCAATTTGGGTAATGAATAAGTGAACAGTTCAGTTGATCCAGTTCATTTAGGTGAAAGAGAACTCAATGACACTCGGTGCAGTTCATAGAGCCAACATGTACCCGATTACCTTATGAATTTATGTAATGGATTTACAAATGTATCTTCAATGACAATTTAATTTAGTTCTTTGAATTAAACTTAAATCTAAATTTTTAAAAATGCACCTCATGAATATTCAGTATTACATTGTTAGTATTGAACCGTGAGTCATCCTGACCATCAAATGAGTACAGATCCGTAGCATTTTAATGGGCTTGCTCATTTAGCAGGAATATGTAGGTACCAAGGAGACTGCAGCCCTGAAGCTTGAGATGAAAGATAGTTTAATCTAGTGAAAGATAACATTCATTCTGTAGAACCTGAAAAATGGGAATATCCCCCATGATTTCATATAATTATAAAATATATGTTTAGTTATTTGAGAAAAGTGCCATATAAAACCAGTATGTGAAGGTCATTTTTATGTACTTCAGTAACGGGGGAATCAAACCTGTTTTTTTTTTATGTGATGAGAAAACACTCTTACCAGTAGGGTACCGAACCACCGCCTGTTTCATTCTGACATATGGTGTAAAACCCACTCACTGAGCTCAGTCCAATCACAATACTCCACAATACAAATCCAATAAGAGTGAGTGAGTTTGGTTTTACAGCACATGTGGGGAATCGAACCCATGTCTTCGGTGTGAAGACCAAACGCTTTAACCACTAGGCTACCCCACTGCCCCAAATCCAATAAGACATTGAAACAAACATACTGAAACCCTTAAATACTCAGAACAATCTATACCTGATTAGATCTGGACCTTAACATCCTCTTGCAAAACTGCTCACAGAAAAAGACATGCCTTTCTAGAGGTGTGGAATGAGCATGGTTCCATCCAATCGACACTGTCCTTGAGCCCAACCTCCTACTGATAAGATCCATTAAGCTCAACAAAAGACAGACGAAATCCTCCACCAGGTGAACCTATATTCAGGTAGATGAGTCTCCAAACGATGCTGCCATCATGAACATCATCACAAGCACTGAAAATGTCTCAATTGCCATGAGGACAGTCGTTAAGGTGATCGAGATGTCACAGGTAAAGGCCAAATCAGGGAGACATTAATGGAATTACACTCGTCTCGACAACACTACCAACAAGGAGCTTCGGATGACCAAAACTAATTACACATTTCAATAGGTGTGCACTTCTTTCAAATGACCTTTGTATAAATGCTATGCCTATTATTATATTAGAATTTGCTTCAAGTCTAGACTACAAGTCAAGGGAATATGACATGATTATCGATAAAACATACTTACCAAATGTGTCTTGAAAGGCGACAAAATAAAAGTGATGTGAAATTGAGAGGGACCCATTTTACTTTACCACAGGGACTATTGCATCCTCGTCTATAAGAGACTCTTGGTGTATCTTTTGTCTTCTGTATCAACTTATCCCCGCCAAAGGAAACCTAGTAGATTTATGACACATCAATTTTGCCAATAAAGGGAAAAAGGGATATCCCAAATAAGTCATAAAAGATATACTGATTTATCAATGACCATTCTTTTTTTTCATCTTTCCTTTTTATTTGAGAATTACACTAAAAGGCTTCTCCAGCCCTCATAAATCCTTTACAGTTCTAAATTGTTACACTATCTCATCTTCTTATGTCAAAAGGAGTTTAAGATGAAATGTTTTTCCATCCACAGATCTGTTGTAAAGGGAGACAATCCAATTTATATATGAACTTTAATCTGACAAAGCCATATATCATATATCCACAGTGTTCTCTGGGCTACATTTATTTCCTACCACTTAGGTGCTTTCAAAATCTTATTCCCAAGTTTTCACACACAATACTTTACCAAGCTGCAGCCCAATTGGTCTGCATCATGCATATTAATAAGTCATGGTGGGAGGATATCCACTTAAGGATGCTAGATCCAACAAATACTCTCCATAAATCTTGACCAACAGGAAACACCAACAGAAAATACAGGGGACTTAAGATAACAAATACCCTCCACACGAATTGCGACCCAAAGGAATTATCAACAAAATACACAGAAATATCTTACTATATAGATAAATCCCATTGACACCAAACCACCCAGAAGCTTTGGACTATAAGAACCCATAACATTGGAAAAAGATTAAGAAACATTTGAAAATGTCATTCTTTATGTGGAAATAATCTTGCCAAGCATCCCTGCCATCAAAAATGTCCTGACCTTGGTGATACAGCTCCTATCAGTATCATCAACACCTTTGAATTTCTCCATCAGATATAATGTTCTTAAATAGCCATTGTCTCCAGCAGTTAAAGATGTCACTGAGTGTTACTATCAGCGTGGGACATCTGACCGATGTCCATATGGTCACTGGCTAATGACAGACTGGTCAGGCCAGCAGGACATCTCCTGTCCCTTAATGGTCAGTGTCAAAGTGCACAAACTCCACTCCTTTGAAAGGAGTTTCTGGAGGATTTTGTTTTATTTCATTTATTCCCTTAAAATATAAGAACCTTGTTGATCTTCTGTTCCAGAGTTTTATTACCCCCCCCCCCAAAGTTTTTTATTGGCCACAAAAATATGTTAAATTGAGGTAGTGAGTTTAGTTTTACGCTGCACTCAGCAATATTCCAGCTTTATGGCGGCAGTCTGTAAACAATCAATTCTGGACCAGACAAACCAGTGATCAACAGCATGAGCATCAATCTACACAATTGGGATACGATGACATGTCAACCAAGTCAGCAAGCCTGACCACCCTATCCCGTTAGTCACATCTTACGACAAGTATGGGTTACTGAAGATCAATTCTAACAAAGATCACTGGTCTAACAATATGTTTAAAATAATGTTATTGATTTTGATGATAATGCCAAAGAATACTTACAGCACAGTAGTTAGAGTGTTTGCTTGTCAAAAAGGAAACCTTGCTTGAGGGCTGTACTGAATGCTCAGCCCATGGATGCATAGTAATTCTATCCTTAAAAGAAGCAAGTCTAGATAAGAGGACCAGTCTGTTACTTATATTTTTTAGAAATTATCATTTAAACTATTAATTATTACCTTAGAGGCTCGTGCTAGTCTAGTCAAAAAGGTCAGGTTCAGAATTAAAAAACAAGAGGTGAATCCTAATTATACTGAAGACTCTCTGAATATCATTTGTTATAACACAAGTACACTATGTTCAGTTTCACATTGTGAAAATGCGCCAAAAAATATATAACCTAAAATGCTGAGGACTGACAGCTCTATTACAAAAATGTTCCCTTTCTCTACAAAGTCTACTCAATTCGTCAAGCTTGCTGTGAAAATCTCATTTAGATAGTACAAAACACTCTTAGGGTTCTCCGAGTATGTAAAAGAAGTCAGGCCCTAACATATAACAATTATCACATTTTTCCAACCTTTGTGAGTTCTTGTCAAGATTCCAGAAGGTTCTGTACACAATTTGGCAGGGAATTATTACTAACATGTAACACATACCTTGCAAATGTGTTCCTCTAGCTATTAGCTCAAACATTCCAGTACTCTTGTACGAATTAAACACAAGTCCCCCAGTGCTCACCAACATATCTGTGTTTCAACACAAGCCAGATAGCTTCCAAAAATATTGCTTCTTTCTCCTGTCAACATCCAAACAACTGCATCATCTCTGAGTTTCTCCATCCACTCAGGAGATCTACTTCAGTCTTTGATCACTGATGGTAAGGCTCAATGTCATTATTTTCAACAAGGATCAAGATCTGCTGTTTGTATTGTGTTAATTAGCAGCATTTTGTTAAAGTTGAGATTCAATTCTGATCTTATTTTCACACCTTCCAAACATCTGTTTGATCTGAATTTGAAAGAAAGTGAACTAGTCTTACCTTTACCACAAGTGTCTCCTTAAAGAAATCTCCTTAGAAAAGTGAATAGTGATCCATCTACAAAAGCTCCAATAATTGCACACAATCACTTCTCCACAAACTCCTTAGACAGCCATCAGTTAGCTAAATATATAAATGGCTAATTTCTACCTGTGTCCATATCC